TGTTGACCCAGGATTAATAAACCCGTCCCAGTAGGGGGGTGTTCCCTCCAAAAGTGGTCTGAATCCAAACACGAAAGGGGGACACCCCCCTAATCAGAATCAACCAGGGGTTTATTCATCCCCAATCAGAATCAACCAGTTCTACTTTGATCCGGGGTTAACATTACCGTCAAACCTGGGCGTCTGCTTGGGCCGACGAGCTTGTAGTAGGCGATAGCCAATGCCATGAATTGAAGGCGATTTTCCGGGCTCAACATGGGGTGTTGGCCAATAATCCATCCCGTTTGGACAAAGACTAGAAAGCAACCCCCTTTCAGAATCCCACAAGCATCTAGCAAACTGCCTTTGAACAGCCCAGTTTATTGGGGATCCCCAATTCCAACCCGCCCCTTCGCAGTTGGGGTCGCAGGAGCGTTCGACCAAAGCGCACATGGCCGGGATACTACAACAACGAAATACCATGCACCAAAGTATTGTAATGCATGGAGGTGCCTGGAAATTAGTATACACTGCGTAGCATGTTTGAAGGGTCGTGGAGGCAAGCCACCCCCTCAGAAACCTTCATGGGGTGCCCCAACAAATTTCCCCAAGCTGTCACCAAGCAGTCAGATTGCCCAAAAGGGGAAGTGCTGCCCAGAGTCTGGGCTTCAAGTGCACACAACGGAAATTGGCACCCTGATGCAACATATGGTGTGCGTCAGCAAAACGAGAAGGATGCAGGAGCACACTTACCGAACACGGAATTCTTTCTGGACAAGTCTAGCGTGGTCTCAACTTGTATGGGTTCAAAAACACACCACTTACATGGGTTTGTCTCCTAATGGTGTCTCCCAATTCGCGCCCCCTAAAACAGGTTGGTTGCCATTGTTTCCCGTTTTTGGCATCCCAAGAGGGTGCCCTCAATGTCGCTGACGAAGTCGAGTGAGGCTCTCTGCTACCTCGTGCTAACGCACATAATCTACCGCAATTCACCCGAAAACCCCATCCTCCTGTGTTGGCTCACAGCCGCCTTTGTGAGTGTTTGGGGCGTTTGGGGCACCCGCCAGTCCTCACGCGGCACAAAACAAAAACACATGGCGATGCGAAGGCAAGTTGTTGCATTCCTCTCCGGGAGGCCGCGACAAGGCAGCAAAAGCTGCTCAAAAGTCGGACATGGAAAATAAAGCACGATAAGTACGCCCTACGTCGAATTGATGAGAGCAATCAGTTGGCCTTCCAACTGTGGCGAGAGCGGCAGCGTCTTGACACCTTACGTAATTTGGCTTGTGACCAACTGTGAACACATAAGCCCAAAACCAGGCAGACCTCCAGTGGTCATTGGAGGAAAAGAGGCGCCTTTGCGGTATTTCATGCAAAAGGAGCCCGAGGACCACCCTCCAGTTGAAACAGGGCACCGCAGTGAATGGGGCTACCAAACGGTCAGTACTGTTCCCTTCGAACAGCCCAAGGTTTGAGCGGGATGTGAATCCGGCGACTCACCAACACCTTGTCTCCATTTTACATTGTCCAAAGTACGCGTTTGGTTGCAACCCCTCACAAAGGATGATCTGTAAAGAGTCAAAGCAGCATGCTGACATGAGTTGTCCGTCACGTTCCTGGACTCATCTCCGTTTGAAGACATAAGCCGGACAAAATCATGTGTTTCTTAGGGCCCCCTGGCGAGAAATCTGGGTGCCCGTGTCCGTGCCAAATCAGAAGACCATCATATGTTGTCAGCTGACGCTCCCGTTTGGACATGTGCGCCACCAGCTGCACGCTCTTGGCCGTGAGCTCTCCCAGTGAAAATTGCCGGCCGCTGCTACTCTTCGGGTGTCTCCTCAAAAAGGAATCGGACCCCACAAAACCGGTGGGCGTGCCTTTTCGGTTTTGTACGAACACCACAAGGGTCCACCCTTTGAGTGGACACCCATCTTGGTAGAGCGAATGTCCCCCAGTGCTGTTGCTGGAAACTGAGCCGCGCGCCTTCTGCACGCATGCTCTTGTAAGACCAAAGGAGGTGGCAGCACAGGAAAAGATGGATGGTGGTTGCATCGAAAACTAGCTCCATTCCGCCACCATTGTCATGTCTCCCCCCAAGTGGTAGGTTGAAGAGAAACAACCCCAGTTTTTCACTTTGATAGCCGCGGAAAGTGTCCAAATAATGACACCAGCAAAAAGTTCAACATCCTCTCAACACTTCAATGTTCGTCCCTTCATTCTGATCCAGCGATCCTCCTTTTCAAAAAGACTCACCGCTTCAACACGTGTCCCTTGACTATGCTAGAGCAATCCTTGTTTGAACATTGCAGGAATCATATAGAGTGGTGGCTTCTAAGGTTGGCTGTGATTTTGCACTTAGGGTAGCGTGAAGCCGCAATCCAAACGCAAGCACAGCAACACCAGTCCACGCACTCCAACACTAACACACACACACACCAGTGTAAAACATAGATGTAGGGATCCCAATATCTGTTGGTATCAGTTCACGCTTAAATCTGCAACACATTAAACAAAACGCTGGACAGGGGACAGAATAGCTCCAAGGGAGGTGGACAAGAAAGCACCAAACGTTGGTTTGCAGGAAACCAAACGCCAACGCCAAAAGTGACCGCTTCACACGGCGAAGCAGCAAACTTCAGGACATAACCGCGACAAGGAAACGGCAACGGCAATGATGATAACGACAAACACAACAAGTTCATGAATAAGAGAAATACTAACAATAATAATGACATATCATAACATGGATAAGAGGGGACAAAAGGAAAACAACACAAATTGCTACATAAACAAAACAAACAAACAAGCAAGCAAGCAAACAAGCAAACAAGCAGACAAGCAAACAAGCAAACAAAGAAGCACAGAAGCAAAGAAGCAAAGAAGCAAGCAAACAAACAAACAACCAAACCAAACCAAACCAAACCAAACCAAACCAAACCAAACCAAACCAAACCAAACCCAACCAACCAAACAAACAAACAAACAAACAAACAAACAAACAAACAAAACAAACACACAATCCAAAAAAAATATCAAGAACCCCGCTGTCCAAAAGCCAAGGCAAGCCCTGGTGCCAGATACACCGTTTGGTCGAAGGTTGCATGCACGGTCGAAGCCGAAGCTTCCAGCAGTCGAAGCATTGAGCAGTTATCCCCCAGAACAGTTCTGAGGTTGGGCTCAAATCGTCAAAACGCCGCGCGATACTGCATGAGCCAAGAAGAGTTGCTCATGAGCACAGAATCAACTTTGGTGCACCGCTTTTCGTGTGAAGACAAATTCGGTCCTGGCCAAACAATAGCAAACGAGAGTTGTCCATCTGTCCTGATGTGCCCTTGTGTGGTTGCCATTTTGGGAACCAGTTCACAACCCTTGGGTGCTGGGTCTTGAGCGAAAATGTATAATCTTGTTCCCAGCAAAAAAAACATGCGCCAAGACCTGGGTCCCGATTGTAGTGTTCCAACGGCAAACTCTCCGACCAAAAATCCGATGAAGGACACCAGAACGCCGTAAGAATCAGCTCCTCTGGTGGCTAGGGAGTGGTCAGGTTGGGTTCCCATCCCTCTACCGAGAGCTTCAAATCCAAATCCAACAATCTCAACATGTTGTCCTTTTGGTGTATTCTTCGAAAATCACCCAAAAAGGGTACCCTCAAAAAGGGACACACCCAAGCCAGGGGCTACCTGAAACAAGTCTAAGGTCAACTTGCGACTTGGCACATGGCAGCCGCAGCTTCTGACAATCAAAAACGACTCTCGCACCGGTTCCGGAACAGCTGAAGTCTGGCGGGCGACGGCCGGCCTACAATACCGGCAAAACGGAGGCCAAAGGACTAACCAAGGTTACAAACCAAAGTTTACCAACCAAAGTTACAAACCAAGGTTAAATGTCAACTATCTTTGCGTGACTAACCAAGGACAAATCACAGAATCACTCCTGGTGGGGACGAGAAGGGAAAGCCACACCCCAAATCCAAACACAAAACAGAGAGGATGACAAAAACAAAACACCCATGTTTTGTTGGGTAACGTGGGATGTCCTTTTCCGTGCTATTTAATACTGCCCTGCTGCGAAAAGCCATGGCTTGCGCCTCTCGCGTAGGTCGGCTTTCTCAAGGCAATTTGGTCGGCGATTGTTTGCTGGTTTGCCCTTTTGACCTGTGTCAACTCTATAAACTCTCTGACCATGGAACATTTACAGCTCGTTGTGCGGCCAAGATGGTCAGCTTGAACTTATGAGACAGCTGGAGGCTACCTGTTCTCGAACTTGACTGGCTATACTGGCTCCAAAACTGGAACGGTGAGGCTCGCGCATAAGCAACTGCATGGAATGCTTGTGTCCATTTTATCCGAAAGGGTCGTGGGTCCCGAACACCTTGATTCATGCTGAAACACCCCATTTGCCAAAGTCATTGCACCCCAAATCAGACTTTTGCGTCTGAAGACTCTAAGGGTCCAGAACCATGCCCAGTACCTCCGAGTAAAAGGACATTTGGGTATAGGTCAAACAAAAAGCACCAGGGGAATGGAGGTTTGAGTCCTTGGTTCCATTTACAAGGGTCCCATTTTGGGTACCTATTTTTAGCCCACGGCCATTTGTGGACCATGGCACCCGTGTTATGAGCTGCGATGTAGCTGCGCTTGGACACCATCAACAGCTCAAGGTCATGGACGCACACTCAAAGGGCCAAGGATAGGCATGCTTGGCGAAACAAAGGGCTTCGTAAGTAGGTAGTCACCCTTTCAAATGGTGCTTGAAAGGACATCAACGGACCTAAATTCCCAATCATGTCCCCTGTGCACCAAAGGTGTCCCTAAACATGCACAAGTACTACAAGCATGACATGTTAAAACATGTTTAAATCTCACATATTCACATTGAGGTGCTATCTGAAAATAGTTTGGGTGTGACAGTTGTTGAAAGTACCTTTTTTGGCGTTTTTGTTTTACCAGGGGAAACCCCCCAAGAAAAAAACGAGAGGCAAACCAGGCCTTTCTCTTGGCGTTTGCAAAAGCATCATCCTACTGTCTCAGTCGCCATAGTCAAACCTCAGCTGGCCAGCCAGGCCTCTACTCACCCTTGTCACAGGGCCGCAAGCAGTCGCCCTGACCTGACGTCGCTCGGAATATGTCCATGAGGTGCGTGTCATGAGTGGATTGGCCAAGAAAACCAAAACTGTTGTTCGCCATGAACACCCAAGTGTAATGCCCAGGAACCCACTAGAATATGATCCTCAACATCGTCCAACCCAAACAAAACAATTGCGGTGCGCATCTGGTTCCATGCTTGCGGATGGGAGAACAGAAGTTACTCTCCCACCAAGAATGGTGGAAAGGGCCCTGTGCACTTCCATGTTTGTTGGTGGTAGGGTCGTAGAACTTTGTGTGGGATCATGTGTTTGTGTCTGCGTCTTTGTGTGTGTATTTAAACACCCTTTTGGGGGAACCGGGCTGAGGTTTAGAGGGGCGCCCAAAGGGACGATCAACCCTTTTCGGTTGGGTGTCCAATCCTGATGGACGAAATACTGCACGAAACTTCGAAACCACGGGCCTCACCACGCAGTTCCCAGTGCGCTTCACTCGCTTGCTGAGTGGATGGCCCCAAAAAAGTCCAAATTTCATATTTACCACTAAAATGGTCTTCCCAAAAAGTTTAAAGTTCATGAACTGAGGAAGTGAGTTCAACAATGTCAGCCGTGGCTCTAAATTTTATCCAGGCCACGCAGATCTGGGCAAATTACCATCATTCAACCGGAAATAAGGGAACGCCCAAGAACGAATCTTCACTTTAAAGTGGGGGTCCTAAGGGTCTCACTGGTATTTGTCGCAAAACCCCAAGCTTTCCACAACCACAATCCTCCGCAAATTGTACAAAAGGAACTCAACCAAGAAAGGCCCTTTGTTATTGGAATCTCCTTTGGGGAAATGACCCCAATGATTGTGTTTTCCATGGTCTTTCCATTCGAATCCGCTCATGCGTGTATCTATATATATATATATATTATGTATCATTATATATATATATACATTATTATATCTATATATCATTTCCCCCCCCGCCCCGCCTATTTGATAGAGTAGGCGCTGGATCTCGCGGTCGCTGGCACCGGTCGACAGTGGAATATACCAGGTGGGATGCAGCCGCAGCCCTGGCGCCGCTAGGGACTCCATGACTCGCATCACCCGGTCAGAGTCACTTCGGCATATGGGCGCTTCATCTTTCACTGGGTCCTCCGGTAGAGAGGCTAGAATAAGGGTAGTCTATTTTAGTAGGGGAACCCTCCCCCAAAAAAGGCCAAAAAGGGCAGAGGGGGACCTAGTTAAGGTTGGACCACCCGAAATGGGCTTCGCGTCCTTAAACCAACAAAGGAGGATCCTCCAAAAAGGACACACCCTTATGGCCCTAGATATGATTGAAGTTCTGACCCATTTACAAGGGAAACCGAATGGAAAACCAACCATTTCGCAAGGTCTACCGGGTGTCAAAATGGGGGAGGGTTCTGTAGGAACATACCCATCCGAATCCGAAGCTTGGTTCCGTAAGGGGAATGCAAGCAGAATTCAGCAACCATGGGCTCCCAATATTTCCCCGACCCGCACCAAAATCAAACTCCTCGAGTGGCCCTGATTGTACTATTCTCAAGATTGAGTGGGAAACGTTTAAAGGCTGCCCTCGAGCTGCACAAGCTGTCTTGGACTCTGTAACATGTAATTGTAATTGCCTTGGAGAAGTTTCATAGTGCCAGGAATCCGGTTACAGGCACATTGATGAGAACCAATTCAACACAGGACCACCAGACCAAAGGTGATGTTGAAACGGGCTCAAAACAGACATGTATCCCTCCCAAATGCTACTCTTTCAGTTGCAAAAAAAACGAGGAAAGGCCGTGTTCTTGTTCGTGTTTGGGGGGAAAGGAGGGGGCAAGAGGAGCTGGGATGCTATGAGACTGGGCCGCGAACTAACAGGGAACCCCCAGCGGGCTCCTTCTAGTTACTAGTTGACAATGGTTTTCCAGAACTCCCTTGCTGTTGTTGGTCTTAACAAGCACTGAATGCTAAAAGAGTTGCTGAAAAAATCGACCATTACCCATCCCCTGTCGGCTTCCTTTCGGTAAGTTAAACATGTTGGGCCCTGCAAAACAAAGGGGTCTCTTTTTGGGATGACCACTTTAGCGGGAAACGCGTCAAACAAAATGGGGCAACACAAGGACACCAGTGAAAACAAAGAATCACCGAACAAAACGAAACAAATCAGAACCCCCTGCGCAAAGTACAAGGGATCCCACCAGCCTTCATTCTTCATCCAGGCGATGCTGCCTGGCGGATGGAACATCCACATCTGCCGAAGAACTGCCAGCCACAGTAATGTCAATGTCAACCCCGGATGAACAAACTGGCTCTATCAATTAGGAGGGTGTTCCCTCCAAAAGTGATCTGAATCCCCACTAACAGGGACACCCCCACACCCAAACATTTATTTGTCTGGGGTCAACATTACATGGGGCCGCCAAAAATCCCAGGGTTGTTCATAAATCGGCCCCCCTGGAGACCCTGAAGGTCTTCGGTCCTGTCGGCACGCCATTCTCCTCAAGGAAAAGCTCAGATCCCTGCCCGGGGATGGGACCACTTGCACTTTTGTGTCAATCAAATGATGTAAGGTACGCAGAAATTTGGCAGACTACCATTGCATCAAAAAGCATCTTGCCCACTTCCAAGTTGATGGAGAAAGGGCTAGATCCCAAAGAAACTGGGGTGGGCGTCGATACCGAGCCTCAAAGAACACTCACACACACCCACACACACACACACGTCTTGTGCACTCTGTTGCGGAAAATAATGTCAGACAAACATATATAATAAACCGCAACATGTCATAACCGAAGTAAACCTTAAAATGTGAACCATAGTAAACCATAGTGAGCCACAAGTGAGCCACAATGTCCAAAAAAGCCATCGATCCCACGGTCACACCTCTTCGAACCGAGCGATCGATCTCGCCTTGGCACTTCAGGCTCGCCGCTCCGCAGGGGCCCGTGTACCCGTCCTGGCTCCAAAACCCCCCTCCGAAGCCACTGGTCCAGGGGAGGCTTCCCGTTCTCCGATTTTTTTCCAGGGATCCGCATCTTTTCGGGAAACCAGGTTGAAAAGAATGGAACCACCTCTAGAACTTGGCCCACTCGCTGGCCAAAAGTCTGAGCGGAGATGGTGCCATGGTGCGCATTGCAAGGCTTTATCCCTGAGGGCATTTGGGCCTTGTGTCGTGCAATGATCCAAAGGGCTGGGAAGGGGACCAAGGCATGTGAGCTCATCATGTGAGCTTGGCGTTTCTCCTGGTCCGATCCGATCGGATGTTCCACTCGCCAACGGACGCTTCTTGGGAAACGATTGGATCGCAATCGGCCCATGCGGGTTCGGCTTTTTTGGGTCCGCTGGAGAGGGGGAAAAAAACATGAAGCCAGCAGAAATAACCGCCATGTTCCCAGATCTACTTCTAAAGTGGGTGCAACCGGCAAGATAGACTGGCATCTGAGTGGTTTATCTGTTCTTTTGACAATTTTGCCAAGATCAGTCAACAACGGATCTCGGAAAAGCTTCACCAACTCCACTCACTCGCCTCACGTCCTCTTTCGTTCACTCCGACCGGTCCTTGCGGTACCACTCCTTGTAGAAGCTCCCGAAGTCGAAGTCGCAGGGCGGGTTCGCCAGCTCTTCCTCAGCGAGTTGAAGTTGGAACCGAGACTCGAAAAAGGCGATGTACTCTCGGTTGCGAAATCTGCTCCCCTGCAAAAAGTTTTTAACTTTTAGTGGTTGTTGGAGAAAAGCCATTAGATGGCAAAAAGTTAAAGTCCCAGCATCCAAGCAACATGCACCAACGTTAAAAAAAAGGCAAGGTACTTACAGCAAGTGTTAGTAAGCCTGCCTCGAGACTCCATGACCCTTGAAAAGTAGGGTTATGATCCCCTTATTTTGGGGAATGACCTCATGTTTTAAGGGTCATGGAGACTCCAGGTGGTCACAACCCACAAAAGCCATGGCCACAAGTCTCCGTTCAGTGGGTTACCAGGCTAACCACTAAGCACCCGATCGCACCTTTAAGTATGGCAAGTCAAGCCTCTGAATACGAGAGACGTCCAACTAAATATGGCAAGGGAACGTGGGGAACTGTGTGCTTTACCCTGGAATTGGTGGGGCACTCCCGAAACATGTCGGAAATTGACTGTGCCTGTTACATCTTGTGCTTTACCCGGGAATTGGTGGAGAACTCCCGAAATATGTCGGAAATTGACTGTGCCTGTTACATCTGGCATAAGATCTATTTGTGAATCTTATGCACGTTCTTTCCATACCAAGTCAGATATACCAAGCGCCACTGCATCCAGGCTTCCGCGGTTGGAAGGTCCGGATACCTGGCATCGAGGTCATGGGACCCCGCGCAAAATGGCATCCGATTCTGGCGCCTTGTGCCCTACTGTGCCCTGAAATATTGTTTGGGGGGGCCAGGAAAAAGCAAAAAAAAAACGATCCAGCACCATGGTTTCCCTTTGGGTCAAACAACTAGTGAAAAATGATTTAATATCATGGAATTTGGGTCAAACCACTAGTGAAAATGATTTAATATCATGGAATTTGGGTCAAACCACTAGTGAAAAATGATTTAATATCATGGAATTTGGGTCAAACCACTAGTGAAACATGATTTAATATCATGGAATTTGGGTCAAACCACTAGTGAAAAATGATTTAACATCATGGGTTTCCCTGTGGCTCAAACAACTAGTGAAAAATAAACGATGTACATCCTGGTTTCCCTTTGGGTCAAACAGTTGCGGCCTATTTGGCACCCTTTGGTTTTTGCCCAGGTGGCATCAACAGCCACAGCACCCCAACCACAGGGCAGCGCGGACAGTGACCCTTCCTATGGTAGCCTGAACAAAATTGGGTTCGGAATCTTAACAGGGCACCCTTTGGCGGACATCAAAATTCGATGGGTTCCCTGTTAGCCAAATTTCATGGCCAATTGAACCCTCCAATCCCAATAGAGCCGGAACAGAAAGTCCTAACAGAACCTCGCACGCCCTATATTGACCCCTTATTAGGTTGTTTTCCACCATCGGGAGCCTGACAAACATAGGGTGACTCGTGATTCCTTGCTTCACTTCCCTCATACGGAGCCTTTGCTTTCTGCTGAAAGGAAAACTGACTGGGACCCCCCCCCCCCCCGCCCTCCCCAAAAACGAGGAAATTGCAACCACATTTGCAGGCTATACCCAGCCGTTGCCGAACATCTGGACAATTTATTTGCCAACATGAAACTAGCAATCCCAACGTAAAGAACCTCTGCATTTGCATCACAAAAAGGGAGCGCACCAGAATGTACAAGGGGCAAGCAGGAGGGAAAAACACTGGCGAACTGCAAATCGAATCTTGATCAACGGAAACTCAAAGAATTCCAAAAGTTTTCAGACGCATCTCGGATGTGTCGAAAACCAACAGATGTGACATATATACATACGGGGAAGCCAAGGTTTGCTGTGCCATACTTGGTCAAAGAAGAGTACCAAAAAAGGAAACCAACCATTTGGTCAAGGTCCATTTCTTGGTTGACGTTGGAAGGGGAGCAAACATTTAATTGTCAGCAGTTAAGTTGGGATTTCCAGCTAAACCACAACAAGCAAAAATGTAAACTGTGTCCCAACAACAACCATGATTTATTCTTGGTTCAGCACCCAGATTTCAATCCCAAATGAACCGCATTCCAACCAATCACGCGGCCTTCCCTCAGGCGAAAGCTCCGAACTTATGGCCAGGGAGAGGGATACGACCAGCCGTAGGGAAAACGGGGGCACTCTTCTCACTTGCCCCGCATAGGACCTACCTGGAGTCTCCACAAACTGGGAAACCAACCGCTCAAAAGGTTGGCTTTGCACAACTGAGTCTTCGTTGATAGTTGATTGTAAAGGGAAACCCCCTCCAAGCAGGAAAGAAAAACAAAACACAGGTCTGGGGATGTCCATCTTTCGATTCGGCAGTTGGGGGTTTTGGGAGAAAACCACAAGCCGAATGCGACACCCGGGGTTCATCTTTCAGAGGCAAAAGGAGCAACCACTTGCTTTTTGGGTGCGTGGAAGATGTTCCCTCACCCAAACAAGGACTAGCACACCAGTGCTGAACCATTTCGCATGAGGAAATTGACTAATATCATCATCAAATGAGCACACCACAAAATGTCGAGCGCTTACGCCCCCCAGAAAAAAGGCCGTCACCGCCAACTGTGTACCCTCGTTTTAGAACAGCGCGAACTTGCGTAGAGGCCATCTACGAAAAGACGCCCTATAGCGTTTCAATTCGAGCCCCAATCCGAAGGGTAGAAAGGCAGTCACTGGGCAAGGCAAACCAAGCGGCCTACACGTGGCTTTCCATCTGGTTTTCCCTGCCATGGCGGAAGCAAATTCTTCAAAGGGTAGATCCGAAGGTCAGAAACATCCTCACCCTAAGGGGTGATGCTTCTAAGTCGGTTGGAGAGCCCTTCAAGGGGTATGCATTGAATGAATTGGATGAGTCAGAAATGTTTTGTCCCTGTTCGGGGGGTCTCTTCTTGAACGTTCAGCTCAATTAGGTAATCAAGGTTCGAAAGAAAACTCCCCTCCCAGTTACCCCGAAAACTCACCACCTGGAGTCTCCACGACCCTCAAAAAATGGGCTCATTCCCCAAAATCAGGGTGTCATGACCCTAATTTTGGAGGGTCAGGTCAGGAGACTCCAGGCACTGCTTACTAGCCACTTGCCATAAGTCTGAAGTACAAGGACCTCACGCGACCTCACCCCAAACGGTTTAATCGCCCCCCAACCACCTTATTTCAGGTTGAAATATTACAATTCACTCGCTATAAGCTCTTCTTCCGACAAAGCGGGGAAATATTATAAACGGTTTATGTTGGCTCTTCTTCCCAGCGCCAAACGCTCCCAGCGGCCCTCGAGGTCGCGCACGCGCGCCCGCGCCTCGAGTTGAAGAGCTTCGTGGCCTCATCGGCGCGGCGTTGGTTCGCCGTGGCGTTGTCGATGCCGTCCCACCAGCCTGCCAGAGGCAGAAGGCAAACGGGGCGCAAAGGGGGCAAGGGGCCGAAGGGGCCGAAGGGGCCGAAGGGGCCGAAGGGGCCGAAGGGGCCGAAGGGAGCTAGGGTCCACACCATTTTGGTCAGATTGCCTAAACAAATAGGCTTGGTTGACGTTGGAGGGGAGCAACAAAATAAATCTTAGCAGTTAAGTGGGGATTTCCCACTAGACTAAACCACAATAATCAAAAATACAAAATGTTTCCCAACAACAACTATGAAGGGGCGAACGGCCGAAGGGATCTAGGGTCCACACCTTTTTTGTCAGATTGCCCAAACAGATGCTCCCTGATGGATGTTGGAAACATATGGCGCCGAATAAAGGATTGAGCAAGGTGCATCAAATTCACCTTCTTGACGCATCTGTGTTTGGGTACCTTCTTCAAGGTTTCCCGTTGTTTCTTGAGCTGTGAAACCAATCGCTCTCAGAGTTGGCCTTTTTGAGCCATGAGTACAGTGGGCTGCCTGGTTTCGCTTGAACCACCAGCCAAAAACATTCCGCCTCGGAACAGACCCATAGGTCCTAAAGCAGGGGGGCCAGCAAAACTGTTCCTTAAAGCACTAAAACAACCCCAAAGATGGTACCCTCAAAACAGACGCGCCCATGTTGTGAGGTCTAGTGTGGAACCAACCCATTCCAAGGCTCCACAGAGAAAGAACCCAATGACTCAATCAGCCGTGGGGCTAAAGTCACGCGTGTTTGAATTGAATTCACCCTGGTCGTTTTTTGGTGTGGGATTCACCCCTACGCCGGAAACAGGGCAAGCTTCCTTTTGAAAAACAGCCTGGGCTTGTTCGCAAACCTCGTGATTGATTGTGCATACCTGGACCAACCACGTATGCCAAAAAAACCTTCGAGAAAAATGCGCAAACAAATGCATTGTTCTTTAAAAGCGCCTTTGTTTACAAAAAACACATTCGCAGCGCAATGCCACACTGACGCATTGCTGACGCATTGCCTGGTCCGTCTGCCTTCTCCCTCAATTGGATGTGACGACCTTCTTTCTTCAAAATTGGCCGTTGCTGTAGGTTGGTTTCCACCAGAGCGCCGTCTGAATCCCCCCCTCATGGCCAGCACTGCCAGCTCGAGGGGGGCGATTTGGAACGCGAAAGCTGGCGCGAATGTCAGCCAACACCGTTTTGCAACCGGCTTTTTGTTTTCCGGCAAATTCCGCCTTGATCCGGCAATTTCCGCCTTTGTTCCGCCAATGTCCGCCTTCGCTTTGGCAGTTTCCGGCTTTGTTTGTCAGGTGCAATTTCACGAGCAACTGGCCACAAAAGGCGCTTCCGGAACGCAGTGCTGCTGATGTCTGACGCAATTTGTTGAGAAAAGTTGATTTTTCCACAAAGCTGCTAAGGAAAATGATCTGTCAATCTTTGTAGACGAAGCATGCTCGCAATCCAACGAGGAAGCCACACGCAATGCAAGATATGCAAGCATGGTTTTCAAGCACTAGCCCGGGCGAGGGCTGAGCCCAGATTGGGGTAAGCGCCCTCATATTTCGGAAAAACGTCCTCGATTCCCAAAAACATAGGAAACTCCTGAAAATAAAAAAAGGCACACTTAACACGTTGCAGGTATATACACACACATGTGTGTGTGTGTGTGTGTGTGCGTGTGTGCATATATATATATATATATATAATATATACTATATTGATATGTATACATACGTACATACATAAAATTGTATATTGAAACATGAAAAACCGACTGGCAAAGCAGGGCCTATTGTTTAGCTCCGAGCGAGACCTGTTTCCGGCCCAGAACGTAAATCAAACCAGCACACTAGAATGCCGATATTATTTTCGAACATGTGTAAAATCAAAATCAACAGCCTCCATGTGCTTAAGTTTCCTGGAAGAAATGAATTTTACGAATCGTGACAGAGTCCCTCAAAAACCAACAAGGGGGGAAAGAACAACTTAATACGCAAATGGAAGAAAGGTTCTGCATGGGTGTAACTATTTGTTTGGAATCACTAGTTGCTCATCTCACTTGCTTGGTAAAAAGTGGAAAGTGAGTTTGCTTTAATCAATAAAACAAAACTGATGCAATTTTATTCCAAAAACATCGATTCCGGCCAAATTATGTGAAAGCCCCAGAAGCATCCAATATGGCCATGCCTTCATGTGTCAACTCTAGCCTCATCAACCCAACAAACCTCCATTGCAAGGTTTGGTACCTCAGGTACCAAACATCCTTCGGAAACTTCATCTCCAACGCCAGAAACGAAAACTGCAACACAAGAACACCAAGCAGCCCACCAAAACACCTTCCTTCGGCTTTCCTTTCAGGCCCCAGCCCGGCTCCCGGAAACTCATTTCCAAATGACTGTTCGGACAAGTGGGTGTGCGTGTTTCTAAGGGAACCCAAGGTTTCCCGCTGGTTTCCCCGTAAAACCATCCCAAAAGAGGTGCCCTCAAAACAAGGGACGCCCAAGTGCTGTTTCAAAAGGAGCCTTTCAAGGAAAAACATATAGGGAACCCTCATCAAATCACGTGCGCTCGTTGTTAGTTCCTTGACGGCCCCACCAAACCGTGCATTTTCCCTTAACACCTACATGACCGTTTCCCGTTAAACCAACACAAGAAAGGGCATCTTGAGCCATTGGACGCTTTGGATTTCAACGAGGAACGAGGAAGACCGCGCCAATCAGAGAAAGCCATCCTTAGAGGAAACTGAGATGATCAAACTATTTAGGAAGTAGATTGTGACCAGACTTACATCATGAGCAGAGGTTGGTTGGCTGACTACTTACCCTGGTCATAACTTAGCAAAGTAGATTGAGCATCAGCTGTGAACGCTTGCCCGCTCGCAGTCGAGCAGCTAAACGCTATGCCCTTGTCGGTCTCCGGATCATACTCGCGGTGGGCCCATCTGGCCGAGGGGTCCATAAGCTGCTCAAACGTCTTGTCCAGACTTAGACCCCTGCAAAAAGTGCTTGCTGGTTGAAAGGTAAAATGATGGAAACCCAAACAGTTAAAAAAACAAGAAACAAGTAAAGGAATCCTTTAGGTATTGCCAGCCAGAACGTTTGGGCGGGACTAGCGGACTACAATTTGTTGGTATCTTCCCCAGTAGGAGTGTTTTGCATAGACCTCACGCGAGATTTGACCAACCCAACATATACGGGATCCAGGAATATTGAAGACATCGCAACCACACGAAACGTGTCGTCGCCGTGACTGGCATAGATGAATAGAGTCAAACTCTTGCGGGCTTCTGAGCGCTATCGGTTTTTCAAACCATGGTATTAGTACTGGCAGTGTCCTCAGGTCAAAAGGCGAACCAAGCAGGCCAAATCGACCATGAAATCTGGCGAAACATGCAGAATAATTGACTACACCCCGAACCACTGGCAAAGTCGCAAAACATGGCGCCCTTGTGTTCGGAAAGTGAACAGCACCACTTTCCGCACAAGTATGGCCAGCCTCCCCCACACCCCTCGCAACCTGCTAAAAGAGAGAGAGAGAGAAAAAAAAAAAGGCGAGCGCTCCCAATCCATGCAAATCGTGGCAACCAGCCCGGGCAGCCTGCCAACCGGCCCGGTTGCGGACGTAGATCCAAACGTGCAAGTTGCTGACAAAACAAAAGTTGCGGCTCAAATCAAAGGCATAAGACACTTGTCAGCCTTGCGCACAATTCCAATCAAGTTCCCATACTCCATCGCAATCCCAAACCGAATCTGGTTCGGGACATTGTGAAGTCTTCAGGGGGGGGGAACACGAAAGGGTAGAACAATGAGCTCCCATCAGATTTCAGAGCCTCAAAACAAAGCTTCCACAAGCTGATCGTATGGATGGATGTCTCTGACACTCGGAGGCGTAGGCGTGGTCAAAACGTCTTGCCTTACGGCCGTTTTTTATGATCGCCACTGATCCATATCAACGAGTATAACACTTCCATGTGTCATGTGAACAAGCAGGACGAGGAGATTCTGGACGCTCCTGACCAGTCCTGGAGAAAAAACAACATTGCAACCCTCCAGTGGCTGTGAAGACGAGCAGCTTCAAAAAGGACATCCTAGGTACTCCTAGGTCCTCCAGTAGCGAGGTTAGAATAAGGGTACCCGATTTTTTCTCTGTAGTCTATTTTAGTAGGGGAACCCTCCCCCAAAAAAGGGCAAAAGGGCACTACTGGGGGACCTAGCATCCTTTGTTCGTTGGGAGTTTTTGGTCAATCCTCTAAAGAGGTTGGAAAAAGGACAAAGCTACTTTGTCACTTCGTCACTAGACGGATTCCCCCAGCACAGACAGTGGCCCTGGAACGGGCCTCATTTGTCTACAATGTGTTCAATGTGTTCCAAAGAAAGCCCTTTTCCAAACACCCAATATGGGTATGGGTCCAAGATAAGCCAGCAGACCGGAGGTTGCAGTAGTTGCTTCCGTGTTCCAGGGCAACCCATTTTGGGTACCTATTCTTGACCGACAGCCATATTCCGAACCCTGCTTTCCATCTCACTTCCCGAGTGGATTCCTGGATGGCCAAGAAACAAGTCCAAACTTCTTATGTTCCACTCAAATGGTCTTCCAAAAAAGTATGAAGTTTATAAAGTCCAGGAACTCAGGAAGTGAGTCATTGATTTCCCACAATACCCACTGTCGAAAGCAAACGCCATGTCCTTCCATCAGCCTCCAGGAGCTATAGTCCTTGATGCCCACGAGCCTCAGGTGAAGCGGACATTCTTCACTCCGCGGATTGCAAGGCCTAAGAACCTTGAGACCTGAACAAGGGCCACGTTCTTAGGTCCAAACCCTTATGGAGATCCCCTGGACCACCCTTCCGATGGAGATTCCTGGGCCCACTACAGCCAGCATCTTCAAAACTACGAGGAGCTGGAGTAGTGGCAGGGGTGGGTCGCAAGTCCTGAGCAAAACTTTAGGGGGCCCGGGCGCCCGGTTTTGTGTTTTAGGGGGGCCCGGGCGCCCGGTTTTGTTTACTTGTTTACTCATAGCGCCATGTAACTTACAAGAGGTTCACCTGTCCCAGGGGTTCGTGGTCGAGCCATTGGCAATGTTGAGAAACTAACCCAAGCAAGCACTCCCTCTAAAATCAAGCCATCGCCACATCATAAGTAACTCGGCGTACTGCCCACTTTCTTTTTCAATGGGTCTCAAATTAGGAGCTGTTGGCTGACTTTCAAGGGAAAGCCCTGACAACAATCCAAAGGACTCTTTTGGGGTCCCCTGTATTGAGGTGCGCCTTTCGCTCTGACCAATGGGATGCACAGAACACCTTCGAGCCGACCGAGCTCGCTGCTCGTCAAGGGAAATCTCGCCTGGGCAAGCAACTCTGAGACGGTTCTGGCTGCCAAAACATGGAATCTCCCAAATGGCACCAACTACATCTATAGGTCCTCCAGTAGAGAGGTTAGAACAAGGGTACACACTTTTTTCTGTAGTCTATTTTAGTAGGGGAACCCTCCCAACCAAAAAAGTTCATAAAAGGGCACTACTGGGGGACCTAGACATGAAAACAAAGACTAATACCTGGCCTGCGGTTTGCCCCAGGTGCTATTTCTTTTGAGCCACTCAAATCACCCCTGTCGATGTGACTCAAAAAAAAAAGGCCCACTGTGACTCGATCGGGTCAGATTGCGGGGGGTCTGTCAAGAAGTCTTTGGACCAAGTTGTTTTTTGCCATTGGAGGTGGGGTGAACGAAAAGTAAAAATGTCCTCCTGTCAGCTTCCGTGAGAGTACTTGCTTGAAACGATGGGCACATACCTCTGCGGGAGTCAACTGCACTTTTAGGGTGAGCATTCGACTATTAGGGTCCATCAAGGAACAGTACGTAAGGGCCATAAACTTCTCATGGCTCCCGATGTTGTCCAATCTGCATTTCGCCGTACCTGTTTGGTTGGAAAAAACAGCATGGGGCATACATCTAAAGGCATCAACTATACTTTTAGGGTTTCCGAACTTGTTCAAGAAAGTTGCTTCAAATGTGCATGCGGATACCTTGCGCCAATCTAATGGCTCAGCTGTCTTCCCGTCTTCCGGCACGGATGTTTCCCAGAATGTTCTGGCCCTCAATGCTATTTGATGGCCCCTCCCCTTGCGACTCAGCTCTGAATCATCTAAATATGGGGACCCAACCGCTTTCCGTGGCTTTCCTCCTGGTTTTCCTTCAAACTTCAAACCAAACCTAGAAGAGTACCACCTCAAAACCACACAGGCCCATATGGGTGCCTATCTTTGAGGGTCCCCGGATTGTTTTTGTGTTTTTTAATTCAAGCGAAACTACAAGGACAAGCCTCATTTTGAGGGGGTCCCTAAAGACACAAACACCCACACACACACACACACCCGGCTGTCTCTTTTTTAGGAAAGCCCTTTCCTTGTGGTTTCGGTTCAAAAACCAATCCCAAAGGGGGTACCCCCCAAAAAATGTTAAAAACAAAAAAACAACAACAGGACGCAGATCGACCCATCTCGTTGCGCGTTCGCTTGCGCGCTGGGGCCTGCTTCTTCGTAGTTCCAGGTGCAAGTGCCGTTGCCGTTGGGCTCCACCCCGGGGCAGTAGCCCCCGGGCTGCACCTCCTGGCACTTGTTGTTCTTGTTGTAGTACCTTGAGCGCATGCCCAGTGGATTTCCATGGGAACAACAAGACTCGGCACCCTTTTTTGGTTGGTTGGGTTAAAGGAATCGGAACCCTTACCCAAAAAAGAAGAAAAAAGGAAGCAACCCACTGGGCAACAGAGACCTTAATCAACGGATGCCACAAAAACCGGAAGTGAGCGGATGCCACAAAAACGGCAGCTGAGCTCGGTTGCTGTTGACTCTGCTGCAAACAGTTCTTCACTCTTTGGGGGGTTTGAGGAAAACCCAACTTTGCTTTCAACCAAAAAGTCAAGACGTCTAAAGATCCGTTGCCCAATCGTCTAAAGATCCGGAGCCCCGTGGTTTCGAGCTCCAGGCTTTCCCAGCACAGATCGAATCGACTTGGAAGCCACTGGTCCACAGGACTGCAGCAGCTGCCAGTGCTGAGCTTGCATCTCGTTCCTACCGAAAACTGGGAAGAAGTAGCTACTTCTTCAGTATGCAACAAAAAGAAAGGATTCAAACCAAAGCTGACACTAGATTCTGGGGAGCCATGTGTTGAACTATTCCACAATTTGTCAGAAACACATGGTCATCGGAACCAACCGGTAATGTCCAATGAAGGGGAACTGAGCCTTGGGCCTCAGCCATGACATGCGATGCGATGTCCGATGTGCAGCAGTCTTTGTTTGCACGGTGCTCTCACCATTTCGACTCTACCTAAAACGTGTTCTCTTTTGCGGGTCAATCCGATATGTCCAAGCAATGGTGCCAGGCTAATCATCCAGGGTTGGTTCCTCATGCTCACCCACTTCGGCAGACGTCGACCTCTGTGGGTCAAAATTTAACCACCAGAAGACTGCATGGTGTTTGTCCTTGGTTCTATTTACCCAAGCAACCCATTTGGGGTACTGATTTTTGGCAGGTCAAACAATCAAAACACCCCCAAAGAGCCATTGTAACTAAGCCCTCCAAAAGAGGGTGCCCTGCTGTTCCTTTCAGGAAAACAAATGAGGGCTCTGGCTTTTGCTTTGGGGCTGCTTAGCACCCAGCTTCTCGGTTTTGACAAGGACCAAATCGAGGTACTTATTTGCACGTGCCTAAATGGACAAACTTGCTGTGCCCGTATGGAAGAACTTGGTGGTCCCCTTAGTCTTGTGTAAAATGCGGGAAACACACAATTTGATCAAAGCATCGCTCCACCAGCCCCACTTACGGTTCGCCCCTTGTCTATTTCTTGTCATAAAATACCCATTTGCAACCACAGACCGGGACAATTCAGCAGATGGTGTCAAAATACGGGAGCCCAAAATGGGCTGTTTCCCTTTGGCTTCCCGTGACATCAAAAAGGGTAGCCTCAAAAACAGAGAGAGAGAGAGAGAGCTCCCTGGACTGCAGCACCAATAACTCGTTTCGCTTTCGATTCGCAGAATGGGCCACGGGCGTGGCCAAAAACTGCCGATGGACCGCCAAGGGCAAGGCGCACCTATCCCTGGCCCTAAAGACCCAAACTATCCTTGGCTTCTCTTTGGCTTATCCAGCCCCGGGCCCGCCACCCTTGGAAGCCCCTGACGGAAAATATGTCCTTCATCACGAACCCCCGCAAGGTTGGCTCATGGGTTCCATAACTCCAAAAAGACACCTTGTGCACAAGGGTTTGCCAGTTTCAACCGAGGTCTGACAAGCAAAGCAACTGAATGGCTCATCTTTCGACCCCCAAAATGGCGCAACGCACAAATTTCCTGTTTTTTTCGCCCACCCAACGGGACCCGAGCGAGCCGAAACACACACAACTGCCCAAGCCCCAAAAACCGCCAGGTTGCAGGTTCTCAGGGCACAGGCCAGGCAGCGCGTACCTGGCGATTTGGGGTTGGAAACCAACGGCTCAGCTTATAACTCTTACATTTCACCAGCCTGAAACAAGGTGGTTGGGGGGTGCCATTCCCCACATAAACCATTTGGGGTGAGGTCGTGTGAGGTCGCTGTTTGGAACCGATTACTTTGGGAGGGATTCCCATAGTTCTGAGAACCTTTGCCGGGGCCAAATGCCTCTCCTGAAGTTCAGGCTAGGCACATTGAAGCAACACCCTCAGATTCACCCTCCACAAGGAAAATCCAATCTCCCCTTCAGTAGAGATTGCACCTGATCACCACCAAAGCGGCTTCCCAGTTGCCTAGCCTCATGTACCGTCCCTGCAACGGCCTCATTGACACGTCGTGGTGTCCAACACACACACACACACAAAACCTGCCAACAGAGAATGATGGAAGTTGTTGCCTTTCTTGTTGAGCTACCGTTCCGCATGTTCCGAAAACAACATGGAATCTGAAGCACATCGCTGTGAAAAAGAAGCAAGTCTGGGAAACTCACCCTTTGCCAAAACTCAACTCACGTACTGAGCCTGTTTGGAGATGTATGTCCACCGACCATTTGGCGGATCAATCAATATCCTGGCCATGTATAAACCATGCCAATAAACATCCAAGGCCCGGATCCCTAATTCAGCAGTACGAGTCGAACATGTCCTGAGACCCAAATTGGAGAAGCTGACCATGCCGGCAAACCCAGGTTGATTGCTTGGCTGGTAGGTAGGTTGGATAGAAATTAGGATTCTAGGCAGGATGGTAGGAAGGAGGCAGGCAGGGTGGGTGGGTTGGTTGGCTGCATCCCGGTGCACCGCGAACTCGAAAGACTCCATCGAAGAAACTAGAGCCTGGTCCATCCCAAAATCAAGCACGGAAACGGTGACCCCGCTCCATGCATTATTTCCCATCAACCCATATTCCTGGAGTATGTGTGGGGCAGGGGCCACCGTTTTGGATCCCGGTACTACGTCCCCACTTCCATTCATTGACTCTTGACAGGGATCACTTTCACCACCAAAGAAGTGACTGTTGGTTAGTTGAAATAATTGATCATGGTAGAAATTGGAGCAGGAAATGAGGAAATGACCCTTATAAAAAGCATCCCTTGTGGTTTCCTTTCAGGGGACCCCTGGGTTCATTCCCACATTCCCTGCCTATCACAACAGTAAGAAAACAAACAAAGGACTGGAAGGCAGGAAGCCAGTGGGAGAAGCCCAAGGACTCATGAAGAACATCCGTTGGACGTTCTGCGAAACCTGGCTGGCCCCTTTGTGGGTGTGACGTTTCTTGAAGCTACCCCCCCCCCCAATACTTAATAACTTAATCTATTTGGAAGGTTTAGCAGAAGTTTATGTTTGTTCTTGTCTTTTCTTTGGGGGGGGGGGCCTAAAAAACACGTCGCGCGCTATTGACAGAACAATCAACATATCGTCAGCATGGATTGGATATGTGGCAGTGTGCCAGGGGCGCTGACCGTAACTCGCTATGAGTCTTCAATTTGTTCCAAGGGTGAATCCATCTGTCACCTATCCTCTGCGTCTTCAATTTCTACAACAATTCCAAACCGGAAGTAAGTCCAAACCGGAAACAAGGGATCCCTAACTAAAGAGCCTGCATCATGGTGAGCTTGTTTACCTCGAGGTGGGCACACGAAACAAAAAGGCTGGCACGCAGGCGACAGGGAAAAAAAATCACTGGGTTCTCCAAGAGAACAATTCGTCCGGCACCCTCGCGCACCACACGGCGTTGGGATAGTACCTTAGATGATAGGTCGAAGCTTCACAAAATCCAGAGCCTCACAGTCCCATAAAATCCTACGGGGGATCATGGGGGGAGCCTACGGTCACCCCAAAATGGCGCAACTGGTTTCCTGTTGGTTTCCCTTGGAAACCAGGTTTCTTCCAATTGGTGGCTTGGTGGTTAGGGGGTGGTTTCCATTTAGGGGTTGCCTGAAAAAAGGGTACCCTTGAAACACGACACCCCCATTTATCCTACCTCGCAGTGCAGTTGGGCCCTTTGGGATGTTTACCCAGATCTGTTGAGTCTGTCCAATCGCTTCGACCTTTTGCCGAGGGAGCCAAACAAAAACACGACTCCCCGTCGCCGTATGGGTGTGTTTTTGGGATACGTACATATATTTGGGGGGGAGGGGGGGGCATTTAAGGCCTGTTAGAGCACCCCGAGTGCAGGTTAGGGAAGCACTTGGCGATTCGTTTCATAAGCTTCTCACACTCCGGTGATACCAAAAAACAATTACCCTTGGAAAGGAGAGCCGCGCGGGCCGCAGAGCTATCCTGCCGGCACCCTGGGCGCACGCCATGTTGGACGGGAAAGGCTTAAGGAGAGAACAGAAGTGAATTGTGAGAGGCGAGGGAGTTCTGCTGTATGACACAAGCGGAAAGTGAAGTCAAACCCCACAAGCCTCTGCTCACTCAGTCCCAAAGGCGGATTTGACCTGTACGTTGGGCAAGGATACCTGTGGAAAAATTCCGGATGCATAGCTTTGGTATCAGCTCTCTGGGATGCCAAGATAATCCCTTTCAAAGGGAAGTTTTCATAGGGTTGATAATCCAATTTGGGTATCACAGCGGTGGCGCTTGTTCTCTACATGTCCTGTTCTGGGATAGAGTGCAAACATCAGCTTTTTGAGAAAGCCATTCCAAGTGAGCGGGGTTGTCCAGGAAGAAATGCAGGGAACTCTGTTTCGGTTTTCTTTTCTCCCCAGGGCCTTGGAGGTTATTGCTTGATTCCATGCGTGACCGAAATCTGTTCGCCTGTTGCACATTGACAATTTCCAGCACGGCAAGATGAGCGACATTCTGCGGGGAGACGGTTGCTCCGCAACCCAAACTGGATATATTTCCGTGGTAAGTCCTGTGGGTTTCAATCTGCCACTGTTAGAGGTCGACAGGGAAATTGGTAGTTATGTTCCTTGCGAGAATCCGACTCTGAAATTTAAAATCTCAATTGGAACCTTGCAAGGAGAAAGTTTAGTTCAATGCAAGCCTCCGCCCAGCAAAAAAGCCACCAGTGTTGTGATTTATCACTGGTTCTTCCGAACCAACTCGCTGAGTATGGTCCTTGTGTTGTTCTTGTTAAATTGCGGGAGGTTGGATTTCTGCGACCTCCCCATGTGGAGAACTTGACATGTGTGCGAATCCCAGCGCTAAGTTGGTTCTTTGTTTCCTCGCGTGCGCGCGCCTCCCTCCACAGACCGACCGCCGGAACGGAACCCAACGAAGCACTTTTAGAGGATTCTCCTGTCTTTGTAGGGAAGCCCTCCAAAGTGTTTTCTGGGTTCTTTTGGTGTCCCATTAAACTCCCCCTGGCCCCTCCCGCTGTTCCCCCAAGTAATTCAGACCTAAGTCGGGTAACTTCTTCTCGAAGCAAGGCCTTCGGAGGAATGCCGGGAAGTGATTTTGAGGGGAAACAAAGCTGAACTGTTTGTGTCCCACTCAAACTTGTTCTGCACAAAGACTATCGAGTCTCCAGGCACCTCGTGTGTGTGGGATTCCTCTGGCCAGGAAAGAGTGGAAGGAGTGACTCTCTGCCAAGTGGCACTGGCTCCATGGGGAAGGGATATTCCCCCAGCTTGTTGCAGCCCACGTTGTACCCGTAGGCCGCATACTCGAAGGCGCTGGTGTACGGCTTCGTGTCAGGCTTCCAAGCCGCCTGGCGAATACATATCCGGCGACTGGAACAAGTTGGAACTGCAGGAACCACCCAAGTGGCAAGTGGCAATTCTCCAAGCTCCTAAATCGTGTTCGCCAGAGGCCATTTCACACCCTGGATTTGCCACAGGATGCCCTTTCTAGGTTGGAAGGGAAACCAACAAAGCCACCATGAGGGTAGATCTAGAGGTTGCCACCGGAGTGGTAAAGAAGCATTTCACCCCCAAGAAAAGCTTGCGTGGAATAACCCTCTTGTAAGGATTCCCCGCATAGGGGGTCCCGCGTGCATGTTCAAAAAGGTATGTCACAGGCGTCCAGACTTCTCTGCCACCAGCACAAAGCCAAATTTAGGCCGGGTGTCTGGGCTCTCAGCCAGTCAGCTTGGTGAATTTCATGTGCAGGGGGTGGGATTCTCCGCCCATATATCGGTGAGGCCAACTGTTGAAGGGGGGGGCATGTTTTTCAAGGTCTGCGTTGCGCGTCTTGAGCCTTTACACCAGGGTCAAAGTAGATTGCAGGGGGGACAAAAAGGGGAAGAACAAAAACACGCAGCGATGTGGTGCCATCTACTTCCACCCAGCCCCGAGAACATGAGCATAGGTATGGCCCACAAGATACAAGTTGCTGAGTGAAGCCAACCAGCTAAATGGGGAGCCTTGAACTGGGCTCCGCCGGGCGAATTCTTGTCCATAGAACGATCCTCCCGGATTTCATTACCTGGCGGACTAGACCGTGTTTCCGCAAGAGAAGGATCACAAACGTATTCAATATGTGAGAATACACATGTTATGAATGATGCGGGTTTATCACTCATGGTTCACATGTATGTCACTCTTAGGCGCTTTTGGATAGGCGACCATGCTTTGCATGTCCCTCGCTCTCCAAATGCGGCGCCTCGTACTTGCCCTCGCCGCAAAACTTGGGCTTCACACCTGGCCGTGAAGGATGTGTGTTCCCCAAGAAAGGCTCCCAAGCGAGCGCGTTGAAAGCATCGGGATTTCATCCACCCCAACTTCACTTCCGGGAAACCCCATCCCAAAGAACCTGGCAACCTCAGTTTATATATGTATATATACAAATGAGATTGTTTTACAACAGGGGAATGCTCCCTGCGGAAAATCTCCTGACACATCACCCGAGGAAACTTACCTAAAGGTTCACAAAAGTCATGGGGAAACATAAGGGGCCCCTGAAAAACACATTAGGCCTATTTCCACGCAAGCCTTGTACCTTCTGTCCGACCAGTGCTTGTAAAAGCTGTTGGTCATTCTAACCCTCAGCATCATGGCAGTTTCTACTAGATGCTTCAGGATCTCCATTCAAAACAAATTGAACCTAAACATGGGCCAAACAGTGAGGTCCTTAGATTCTCAGAGCAACAACAAGATGTACCCTGTACACCCTTTCGTCCGCTAGCATGGGATCCATCATGGCGTGGGCCAACTGTGGACTCGTCAGTGACTCAAGCACAAGCCGCGGCGCGTATCCCGTTTCGGGGGTTTCCCGTCCATGCTTTCACACAATGCCAGATGTTCAGTATATATACGGCCCAAACGGGGTAAGGTCTTTGGGTACACCCTTAGGCGTACACCCGCAGTGGGTACACCTTTAGAGGGTGCATCCTGTAGGGGGTACACCTTAGAGGGGCACACTTAAAAGCAAAACTTTGGGGCTACATGACATCCCTTGAGCCAAGGTGGGAGTCAACCCTTGGGGACAAGTAAGTGTGGCAGTCACATCGCCCATTCGGGGTGTCCAACAAATACTCTGGGCACACTTAGAGTCTATGTCCATTTATCCCCGCTTCTCCTTGGACCCCTCCCCTTTCCTTTAAGGCCTTGATGCCACAAATAGCTGCTTTTAGAGTCATCTATGGTATTTTGCAACCACCTGCTTCCCTCATGGCGCCTGTGTTTGGCCTCGCCGTAGGATAGCCACTCTCTCCCGAACACAGACACTACAAACAGTTCCGTCCATGCGAGGAGCATGCTGTTGGAGCTTCAAGAGAAAGCAACCAGAAAGTACAACAAAAATATCAGTTTATCCTTTTAGGATAAGACATCAGAGAGGGCAACCCCAAAATGCGTGGTTTCCCCTTAATTAAAACAAACCCAAAGGGGGGTATGGGTCCTACAAAAACAAAAAGTCACTTGGGTTCCCTACAATAATTTGCAAGGGACGTGTCTATAGCACCACCCCCCCACCCGCGCCCGCCCGGCGCCTGCCGCAGTGCCATCCTTGGTGGTGACATTCTCGCGCCCGCAGACGAAAGGCCCAGTGGCCTGGCGGCTTCACAATTGACGATTTTGGACCAGCTGGAAATGGCCTCCGGGGACCGTCTGGACATGTGGACGTTCATGGCAAACTTCGGTGGTTCCCTATTTAATGTCATAACCATGTTTTAATTTTGCTCAAAGGGTAACAAATTACGAGAATGAACAGAGGACCAATCTCAGGGTCATGACCCCCCCCAAGTGCGGACATCAATGAATTCGCCAAGACCAAACCACAAGGCACCGCCTGGGGATCTTCCCATCTGCCCCGAAAGGGCAGGGGTCCCTTCAGGGGTATGGCTCAAGGGTCGCGACAAACAAATGTCATAGCCTCAGCAAGAAGTGTAAACCGTTTTTGTTGTTTTGTTTTTAATCCTTTGACAAAGAATATAAAACACACAAATGCTTGGCACTTCTTGCTGTTGGGCGGGGAGGGCTTTACAAGGCCTTCGTGCGTTTGCCCTAACAAAGACCCTGAATGCAAGCCCTTCATGTCGAGCTGGTTGCACCTCGGTCTGGGGAGTTGAAAACGAAGACTGTGAAGGCCAGGATGATGATGCAAAAGGATGTCCTTTGACTCACCGATCAAGCTGACCGAAGAAGACATCATACTTGCTGTTGGCCACTCAATCGGCCCCCCCCCCAAATAAAAATCCAGGAACTCAGGAGTTGATTGGTTGCATTGTAACCTCCTTGTGGTTAGACCAGCGCAATCCGTCGAAAATCGATAGTAACAAGGGTTGCTCCCCAAAAGGAACCGGTCCCTAAAAAAACATCAGCTCGCCAATGAATTTGGCCTGCTCAGTTCCCCTCCGCAATGGGTTCTTCTGCTTCCCACGTGGTGAGCAAACCTGCTTAAAGAGATCAAGATTAACCATAAACCTAAATAAATCAACATGGTTAGGTCGAACAAGTGTTGCCCTCAAAAAGACATGTTGTGAGGCCGCAAATCAACCCTCCTTACTCCTTTCCCCCACACTTCGAGGCATCTGGAGGGACCCTACCCGGCGCCTGGCCCTTGTCATAAGCCAAACGTACTCCGAAGTTCATGTTCAGCCGCAACAGTGGGTTGGTGGCGCGCATCTGAACCTGCCAAACATCCCGAAAGAGGATCTGGAGGCATGGGAAAAGGGACTTTTTTGCAACTTCTGATACCAAAAGACCTCTGGATGGGCGAAATCCTACAACAAACCCTGAAAGGATTCAATTCCCCGGTAAATTCCAACAAAACATAGTTTCCCATGGTTCAAAGTAGTAAGACATGGATTTTGTCCATCCACTGTATCACAACTTTGTCACTTTCAAATGGCGGTACCTTTGGTATGTATCAAAGGCCTAGAACCCAAATGGCTCAATCCCTGCCAAGAAGGACCCTTCTGGTGTTGCACTTGCACGAAGCCGAAGCTTCGCTTGCTCAGAAACGGTGTCGGTGTTCCCCTCAAATGGGGGCAGCCACATTTGGGCTTGGTGTTGAAAGGGAAACCAAGGACTCATCAGAGCGTCTGTGTTTCCCTTTCAAGACATGTTGCATGCTGCTTCTTGTTTGCCACGTTGCAGTTTCTCTTTTTGACACGGTGATCTTCCTGGCAGAAGGGAGCGCTTGATTGGTGCTTAAAGGAGGAATGAAAGGGACACCCCCATTTTCGCTAGGTGCACGTCATATTCCAAGCGTAACAAAGATTAAATCACCTTTGACATTTGAAATGTAGTGTTCTACCAGATCAACGCTGAAAGTCCAATGCCAAACCACCAAAGTGGGCCCATGTTTAGAAAGCTCTTTGGATGTGTTTGGCAGGCTTGCCAAATCGGCTTGAACATGCGTGACAAGAGGTTTGGCCACTGTCATTGCACGCCTTGACAAGATGCTAATGGTCCCTTTGCTGGGGCCATTTCAATGGGAACCCCGGATTAAACGCATCGGGGAGGGTCACCCACAGGATTCCTACTGGACACAGATTTAGCTGGGATTCACCTGAAAAAATCGCCCAGCGGTGCTCCTTTTGGGGCCAGGGAGGGTGCCAGCTGCAGCCGCCCCACCGAAGCCCCCGCTATGCTGAGGACAGTTTCTCCAGTCCGGCGAGGCCAACCGCCCAGGACTATGCCCGTGGGTTGGGTGGATTCTTTTCGCAAAACAACACCTGAAGCAGCCACAAGTTTGGGCCGCGGACTCCCTTGAGAAGGTAGCGGAATATGAAGCTGGGTGGCTCTTGAACGAGAACCTCACTGCTTGTTACTTTGGGGGAAAGCGGTCCTTTTGCAGGTCAACGGATGCAGCAAGAGAAACAGCGCTGTATGTCCAAATCCCACGGGTGGGCGCAAAAGCCACTTCCTGACAAAGTGGCAACAAACCAAACAGTATAGTCTTCCCAAGTTGTTTCAGGCAGAACCATGCTCGGCTCGCCTTGGGCTTCCGCGGATTTTCCAGATCGCGCCTTGTACCGGAGGATGCGGGTGATGTCGAACTTGCGGGGCGCCTGAATCACCACCTGCGCTCAGTTGAGCGACTGATTGGACTCCTAGGGGGGCGATGGCCGGGGGCGGGGGGGGCCATCCCTGGATAAGCCCAGGATGAGCTAAGACTGGGCCCTTAACCAGGCCTTGTTGAGGGGTCAATAAGGGATAGCCCCTCCCCATATCCCCTCTTGGGGGTCCATGGGATTGGTGCCAGCATGAAGAATTGAATCGGGATTCTCACCCATAAGCATTATAGCAAAACCACCTAATGAAACATGGGGGGGTTTAGGACGCTGCTCAGTTGTCGGCCATGATCATGTTTCCCTAACACTAACAGGACACCTTGTGATTGTGGATACAGTTCTGCTGGGCCTCAAAAGGGTTGTCTAAAATCAACCAACACGGTGGATGACCACCCCTCTTGCCAGAAAGGTGCAGAACGAAGCATGATATCCATGCCGACAACGTGTTGTACGTCCATATGTGCCAAGATCAATTCCACTAGGTATTCAAGGGAAAATGGTCAGGGCTTGTGCCCTTGAAATGGCCACTCAGAGGCAATCGTCCAATCGGCGATCTGTAACTTGGCTCACATTTGGGGTACCTGAACCCTCAAAAATCCCTTAAAAATGGGTTTGACCCCCCAAAATTATGGGGTGAAATCCCATTTTTATGGGTAGTTTGAGGGTCCAGGTACACTGAAAATAACAAACATTATGTGTTCGTGATCTCTATGGTAATTGCACGCAATGGCGGAATGGCAGCGTTTCGCCGCGGGTTTCTCGCTTTAACCCCAACAGCAACTTGTAGAATCATTTTCCCGACCTCAGCGCTGGTATTGTAGCAAAAGACTCAATGTGTTTAGCAGCCCCGGAAATTGAAAGTGGAACAGAACCAAAACAGCAAAACACACACACACACACACAACACACTACGCCTTAGCGTGAAGTGCCGGCTTGCGTGTAGACTCACTTGGCTGACTTCGCCGCTTTGTATGCTTGACGGACTGAGGCCAGGAGTGCTGCGCCGATTTGATCCGAAATACCTATGATCCGTGGTGTCTTCAAAACCTTTCGAGGAGACCTTCCACCATCGGCTGGGGGTGGCTGAAACTGATGGGGGAAAGCCATATGACGGTAAAGCGCAAAGCCAAGATATTTCAGGCAGTATTCGTTCCTTCCCACATTGTCTAGAAAAGGGGTTGGAGGCACAGACTCCCGCGCCCGCCCGCGCCAGACAAACAGACAGATTAGTACAGGTAGATGCCCAAAGTGTTCACTTCCTTCCTTGGGCGGGCCACCTGTTACTCCAGTACATCAAACCAATAAGAGTGGACGTAGGCCGGTAGACCACAACGTCGCAGAACGAGATGCGGCAGGAGGTATATAGCCATATAGCATGGAAGACCCAGTAAATAATTGGGATGGACTTTTACGGAAGGCCGTAGGGCCAAGCCTCTTCCCTGCTGGTTCAGGGTTTTTATCTAGCGGCAGCATCTCGAACTGTCGGACTACACAGGTAGCCCTCAATTTAAATATGCGGAACTGGGGAGAGTCCTGCAGAGATCATTCGCTCGCAGCCCCGAAATCATGGCCCTCGTTGCAGCCAGCCGGGCCCGTGCCTCAAGCACCCATCACAAAACGGACGCGCCACCTGCCTCGTGGTGAAGGTACCAAAGGACACCCCCCAAGCCTGGCAAGCAGTTCCAAGAAAAGTGGGGAGAATATGGAGCTTGCGAACAATGACTCTGTGGTACCAATGTGGCATTCCCTTAAGACTATTTGCAGAGGGTTGTCTCCGTGCTAGTACTCACACATCCAGGACAAGGGTGCCGCATGAAAGCAACCTTCCGTCTTTTTACACCCAAGAGCCATGTCAGGCCGCTGCCTGCTTCAGCATAACGTAGAGTTTCCACTTGCCCAAAGAACCTGGACATGTTGATAACCGTTTTGTAGCACTGACTTGACACGAGGAAAAACTGGACAACCAGAAGCTCCTGCGTTGACAATCGCTACACATATATGCCTGTCCGAAATCCCGAGGTCCTAATTATAATCCAAAATCAATCCGCTTAATCCTTTAATGCTAGTTATGGTTGGTAATCGTCTTTATCCGGAAATATGAGATGCAATTGGTGAGTCGAAACCGAAAGTTGGAGCATGGAAACCCAAAAAACCATAATCCAAAATCCGCCAACCGCACAATCCGCAGTCCGCTAATCATTGAACAAGCTATATATCTGAAATGAGCACCTCCGGGAATGCAATTTACCTCACCATACCTCACCAAATCATTAGGTCTTGAACAAGCTATATATCTGAAATGTGCACACCCAGGAATGCAACTTACCTCACCATACCTCACCAAAAAAATGTGTTAACACCAAACATATTGAAGCGGATGGAACCCCAACATGGAAAGCGTGTTGCACAATGGGCGGATTCTGGCATATTGCACCCTAATGCCAACCTGGCAGATCTGGCAGGTTTTTAGACTCACTTCCGTGGAGTCAGGATCACAAAAATCTAGTGAGTCTCACTTGCCCAAACGAGCCCCAGAAACAAAAGTTAAACCTTTGGGGCCTTAACTTCAAATGGACCAGAAAGGGAAAAGCTCGGCTGTAAACAAAAGTTAGCAGACGGATTCTGAGAACCTCCGCAGGGCCTATGAAACGGGATGCCCACCAAGGGGAGTACCGGACATATTCCCATCCTGACATCTTTCCGCCAAATGCTGAGCACACGAGTTCTGAGCCACAATACAGTTGATCAGCTGCCCTGGTGATTCTTTACGTCGTATAGGACTTGGCCTTGCATCGCTCATGGTAGCTGAGTCAGCTGCTCATATGCTCGTCCTAAGCAACTAACAATAGATGTGTCAGTTACTTAATATGCATCAGTCAATAAATCAATAAATGTATTACAGAGACGCTTGGAGGCTTCTGTCTTACTTGTGCGGACAAGGTGCTGGCCATGTTGACATTCAGAGGTGGGTACTCCTCATCCGACCTGACATGGGCTGCGCGTCTCAACGGCCTTTGGAACCAAAGCCCTGTTTCCACCCGAAGATTCGGAAGGAACCTTCTTAGGGTAAAGCTGTGGGTCCAATGGATGTTTCTGTATATGTATGTGTATCATGGTTCTATGTGTATACAAATCTGGGTTTGACTCTAAATATGGGAACCCTCAAAATGGTGCTCGTCCTTTTGGTTTCCCGTTAAAACCACAAACAAGAGTTCCAACTCTAAAGCATACACACCCATATTTGTCAGCCTCTATAGGGTCTCGGGCGCTTGAAGGGTTGCAGAATCCCAACCACCCGTTCCCGCCTCCGACCCTTCACCCAACTAGGAGTCTTATACAGCCAGTGCTTCTTCTCGATGGAACATACCATGGATGGACAACAGATCATGTGATGCAAAGAGCTGGAATCTCAATCGAGACTCACAAAATGAAGCCTATCCTGCGGGGAAAACTTGGAATCGTGCAGGGGCCAACAAGGGACATAGAAAAAAAGAGGTAATCTGGACACTTCTGGGTCTGAGTCTACCAGTTTCCAGCCACTCAAATTCACAGCCATGCCAAAATACGTGAACCTCTATACGTGGTTTCCCCCCCCAACTTCTCCAAGCCAGTCCCGAAGGCCGATCCTGAGGCGCCGACACGGCCCGGTACATATAGAATGTGAGCCTAAGCTGTGCGCTCTCCCATGGCTCTCTCCAAGGGGAAACTGAGGGCTCCAAGATCGAGCACCTAAAAGCCTCTGAGTGGGTGCTTCAAATCGGCGGAAACCTCGAAACAGGTGCTTCTCTTCGCTTTTAAAGGAAGAGCCTCCCCGGTATGGGGGGAGTGATCCACCAAAGACCAGCCATACGAGTCCAAGTGGTTGCGTCCAGTGCAAAGCAATTAATTGGGCATGGCTGTGTCTCAACCTCGAACATGGTAGCTGTTTGATTGCTTTCCCGCAAGCTGAGGCTCCTGTAAACAGGGACCAAGCAAAATGAGCAAAACTGTGACGGACATGTTGATAGATGGAGTGCTCCTTGCATACACGTTGGATTACTGTTGAAATGATGAATAATGAATAATCTAACCTAGTATTTCCATAGGCAACCTTTAAAAAAATAGATGGCCCTCACACGGGCTTTATTAAAAGATAACTTGGACTGCAGCTGAAGCAGGATCGCATGATGATGCAGGCCTTGCAAACTCGAGTGATTCTCTTGATACATGATATACCTAAAAGTACACGTGTACATTGCATGCACACATGCACACTCTCAACCAAGGGGCTACGTTCACAAAGGCGGACATTCATGCACCCACACAAACACACAAACACACAAACACACAGACAGGCAGGCAGGCGGGCAGTCGGACAAACAAGAAAAAAACAGACGGGACCTGACCAGACCAAACTAGACCAAATCACACAAGGCTGCACTGCATAAACGCACACTAAGCCCTACACAAATAGTTCAACTTGTTCTTTGCTTTTAGCCTAGCATTCCAACAGAGTTGACATGGGTGTTTCCACAAATGAGGGACCTCAACAATTCGTTGGTTCCTTGCGGGTGTCCTTTCAAAAACTATGACAAAGGGAGGTCCCTGACTTGGAGAAACACCCAAGAGCTCGTTTTTGGGTCACACACAAGCACACCGGCCCGCTGCCCGTTTGCTTTCCGGAGGCGCAATCAAAACCCGGTACTAAAAATGACACTGTGGATGGACAAAATGCTGCAAAACATTGAAACCATGACAAACCTTTGTCTGTTGGTCTTTACTGGGGAATCGAAGCATTCCAGGGTTTATTAGGTGGTGCGAAATGCATGTCACAACCATCCACAGTACGTTTGCGTTAGAAAGAAAGAAAGGTCAACTGTCAGCCACGCATAAATTGTTGGCGAGATTATTTTAGGTCCTGGGAGCTTCTGTGGAATCGAATGCGCGGAAGCATGCCCAGGTGAGTCATAATCAACACCGGCTATGAAGCAGAAAGGGTCGTCCTGGCTATTCAAACCCACACAACCTCGAGAAGTCCTTTCAAAACCAATAGAACAACCTGGAAAGATCCGAAGAACAAAAAACATTGAGTTTTAAAAACAATCACAGACCCTATGTCCCTAGCCTAAGCCACTTAGTGGTCTACCCAAAGCCATGCAAACAAAAAAAAGGGCGGCTACACAAATACCTTGGGAGTGTTCCAGATGCTCTTCTGCCCCAGTTTCTCAGATTCTCATGTGGTGCATAACCCATGGCTCCATTTTGGGGTGGATGAACATCCATTTGCCACCTATTTTGATGTTCACCAGGGGTACAGGGTTTTGACCCACAGCCATGTACTAGTTCAAAGCTCAGTTGCAATGGGAAGCCCATGCAGCCTGACTGTTGGCCTTGAAGGGCCACTTGCCAGAGGGTGGCACAACTGGAGTCCCCTTGGTCTAACTCCCTTCCGGCCTATTGCCGAGGTCCATGGTCCTACTTGCCCCTTGGGCACCCGGAAAGAAAGGGTTCAGATTTTGGGACCGGTGCAAAACCTGGACCAAACTTGGGCACCCAAAGATTGCGATTGGTCCCTTATCTATCAACTTATCTTTAATCGCTTGATCCCATATCCCTTAGCCAGGCGCTAAAGAACCCAAACTTGGGAAACCACAAATTTTGGGAAACCGCCCGGGAGGTTGCGATCGGATGAAAAAACCGCCGTGAACCGAGGCCCACACAGAGGCGCGGAGCTCGGGGAGTTCAGAGCGGTGTCCATGCCAGCCCAAGGCAGGCCCGACACATTCACCGAGAAGACCTGTGCTGGCGTCTGGTTCTGTGACCATGGGGGATGTTGCCTGAATAGGACACCACAAGGCAAGCGCTAACTCTTTTTTGGAAGTCCCCTAATTTCGTTCCATACCATGGTTCAAAACCAATGGTACCATTTTGGGATAGGTGCACCACCCATTTTAATCTAATTATTTTGGTGGGGATTGGGATGTTCACTGGGGGGTATGGGGTTTTGACCCATGGCCATCTGAGTGCCTTCGTGCCAAAGGGGGGGGGGGATATGGCCCCTTGTACCTTGGTGCCTCGCACTGCCGTAAAGTTGAAGACCTGCGCCTGCGTTCTGCTCAAGCTGTGAGTTGGCAACCGCACCCATGCTGAAGGTTCTTCATACAGGTGTCCAAACGCTGAACTCTTCCCCATGTTATTGCTCCCCTGATATGTATAATATATATATATATGTAGAAACATTTATATACATGTATATGTATATATATATATATATATGCAGCGTTGGCAAATTTCTTAGCAAGTACGACAGGAAACTAATGGAAGACTGCTTTGTTTTTAGCCATGCGTAAAACCTACTAAGTAGGTCCAGCATGAAGTATATGCACAAATAGTGTTCTGCGCAAATAGCCCATCATGCTAAATTTGTCCAAACACTACTTAGCACCCGGTATCACCCATCCAAGCCTCAACATCATGTGCAGTAAAGTCTAAGATAGTATAGAGTATGCATCTGTGCACACCTACATGGGTTTCAAGGCTGGAGAGGACAGGTGGTACTGGTAGCAAATTCATGGTAGACCCTAGTTTGCTCAATCAAATAGAGCCCAAAGGGTAGTGCCTACCGGAATGACCAATAAGGTTACTGATACCAAGCAAACTAAACTACAACAAGCAGGTGTTGGTGAAGGACACCTTGTATAATTCATGGTTGCGGGGGCCTTCTGCAATTCTACATGAAAGCATGAAGTTTGACATAGACACGTTCAAGCAAGCAATCCTTGACACAGGTTCGGCTCCAAGTGAGTTTGTATAAAACATGTTCGTCGGTGGGTCTGAAAAAATGCGAGTTGTGGAACGAGGGGTCGAACACCCTATGCCAAAGATCTAAATATTTTCTGGCATCGTTTCCGAGCAGGGTGAAGATGTGACAACGCACTAACCTTGCAGCATGTCACCTATCATGGCATGGACGTCCACATTGACAGAGCACCAGGGCCATCAAGCAGCGCAGTAAGAAAACTTCCACTCTACCTTGATGCGTGAGCAAGCCTCCTCTTGACAAAGATGGCAAGCCATCGCACCAGTGAGCACGCCGTTGCATCCGAAAATGGCATCCAAATAACGGGACTCAAGCCTGCAACAGACATGGGAGTCATGACCAGACCGCAGATTGCGTGGCTTGGGCTGCGGAAGTCACCTTACCCCCTAGGTCCAATTCCAGCTCACTGTTCAACAAACCACTTCACGCCTTCCGCCTGAACAGCCAGCAGCCTCACCACCGCCGAGTCACAATCTACTGGAAGCACAGCCACGCTGTGCTAAGTCTGGTAGTGTGGCCATGGGTGAAAACCCAAATCGTATCCCCAGTGAACATCCCAATCCCAACTCAAATAGATTAAAATGGGTGGTGCACCTACCCCAAAATGGTACCATTGGTTTTGACCCACAGCCTTGTTTTACCCACCTGATCACGCATCGCGTGGGAGGTCCACCTGCACATCCATGCCACCACCCCCTAGGCGCTCGTCCAAGTTCCTCCACCCTGCGTCGGCTTGATTAGCCGCCCCAGCTGCACCACGCTGGGAGGTTCGAGCCAAGCAGCCAGCTCACAAACCAGAAATTGGCCCTTAAATTAACTGTTTGTCATGGGGCCCGAGCTCGTTTCCCGCTAGGCAAGATTATATTGGCGGTCGTGCGATGTGCGTTACCCCAAAGTGTCGATCTATTATGCTGTGAGCCGTGTATTTTTGGGGGTGCCCCTTTGGAAATCACACGGAAACCAAAGCATCTGGGCCCCCGGCCAAGCCCGGCGCAGGTTTGCCAAAGGCCGGCACCGGCGAGGGGGGCGACGGCGGTGACGGGGCCGACGGCGGCGCAGGGGCTGGCAGGGGATGCGTGGCGATGCCATATCAAGGGCTGAGTCATTAGGATGCGATTTGGGAATTTGGTGATTTGGAGACTTGGGGATTTGGGGATCTGGGGATTTGGGGGGTTTTGGGATCTGGGGATTTGGGGGGTTTTGGGATCTGGGGATTTGGGAATCTGGGGAATTGGGGGTTTGGGGATCTGGGGATTTGGGGGGGGCGTGTGGAGGGGGGGCACTATAAAACTAGTGTAAGCCACGACCATGGGAACATGGAAGGGGTTGCACATGGAAAAACCGCCGAAGCATGCCGAGTTGTGAAGCCGCCATCGGCCATCGCCACAGTTCGCCTTTTGGGCGGTTTGCCTTTTGGGCGGTTTGCCTTTTGGGGAAAGAAACATCCTGTGGGTTTGGATATGTGTATGTGTCCAAATAGAAGGCGGTACTGCGGAGGGGCCAACAAAATAGCTGTATCAGCATTGCTGTAACCTGTGGAGGCACGTGATGCTATGAGCGCGGCTCTGGTCTTATCTTATATCCGTTGTGCAAGGGACAAAGCTTTTCTGGTGTTCATTCATTCCCACACAATGGTCCGAACCAAAGGATACTCCCTGTTGCCCCTTCCATTTGCTTCAGTCCCCTGCAAGCAAAAAAATAAAATAACCATACTCTAGCAGTGATAGATTCCCTTTCAAACCAAGAGGAGGAAAAAACAACAAGGTCATACTCGGGAAAAATCAGGGTACTCGTTTCAGCTATGGAAGCGACTGCTGTCACAGGGATGCCACATCCGAACCCGGCGAGCCTGGGGCCACAGGAGGCCTCCGGAGGGGCAGCTTAAGAGGCCAACCAAAAATTGAAATGGTGGCGGACCAGCCAAGCAACTGACCATATATATATATATATGGTAACCCTCCCGACCAAAACCTAGTTCCTTTTTTTATTTGGGGGGGGTAGCAAATATATATATATATATAACACAACAACTGACCATATAGTTTAAACAAAAAATAAAAAAAACAAAATCTCAGGCCATTGCGGGCATTGCCTGGAGTCTCCACCCTGAAACCATGGGGTCATCTACAGTTTTCTAACGGTGGAGACCCCTGAATCGTTGCTGTCATGTCGTGAGCTTCTTTGGGAAATCCGTCTTGCCCAACAGGAGTTTGGGTGATCCACAAACCAACCTTCATGGTACCGAGGTCTTTTACCACAGCGTCAGCATGCACTGGATTTCCCGTACAGTTGCAACTCACTGGTGGGTTCGGACAAACTCTTGCCGGTTGGTTTATAAAGGGAACAAACGAGTAGTTGGTTGACTATTCAAAGCCGCACGTGTGGCTGAGTGTGTGTGTGTGTGTGTGTGTGTGTGTGTGTGTGTGTGTGTGTGTGTGTGTGTGTGTGTGTGTGTGTGTGTGTGTGTGTGTGTGTGTGTGTGTGTGTGTGTGTGTGTGTGTGTGTGTGTGTGTGTCTGTGTCTCTGGCTGTTCCTCTGTGTCTCTGTGTTTCTGTGTCTCTGTGTGTGTGTGTGTTTGTTTGTGATTGCGTTGTTTGGCTAAAACGCACGCGCGGCGTTCAATCCGGCGAGATGTGAAATCAAATCCAGGCTGTTGAGTGTCGAGAACAACACAATGCTCGCCAGGCTCGCCAACTTCACCTGGTTGCGATTGAACATCCACATAGCAAGGGACCGGTCTGCATAGTTATTTACGCAAGGATGCTGAGTTGCCAAGCTTGAAGCACACCCCTGCGTTTTAGCCCGCATGTGGGGTGCAACAATTCAATCTTCTAGGGGACACTTCCCCATTCTTTCCGGGGTTCCTTCTTTTAAGAAAACCATGAGAAGCCCAGGGGAAACAACTGGTTTTTGAAAAGAACGATTGAAAAGAATGGGGAATCAACCCCTAGAAATCTACTCTGCACAAAGCAAAGTCTTGGAGGAGACCCCAAACACGTCGAAAGGCCACTGGGTGCCCCGACGGTACCGGCACCGGCACCGGCGCTGGTGGGGGCGGCGGGGGCGGCGGCGGCGTGGGCGCCGGTGTCGGCGGCGGCCGCGGGATGGAGATCGGCGGAGGGGACGCGATCTGAGCGCGAGCCCAAAGGCGAACAGCCTTTTCTCACAAGGCGTCACGACCCAAAAGTGAAATCTAGGAGCCCTGCCTTGCCAAAGGGGGCCAACATGGCCCAACAACACGGTGTCCATG